CGTCGCCTAGCTCCGCGAGCTTAGGCGAGACTAACAGGCTTGCGCCCTCAAGAGATTGCCGTCTAGCTCCGCGAGCTCAAGCGAGACTACCAAGCATTCGCCCTACTGAGATCGTCGTCTAGCTCCGCGAGCTTAGGCGAGACTACCAGGCTTGCGCCCTAAAGAGGTCGTCACCAACCTCTGCGAGCATAGGCGAGACTACCAGGCTTTCGTCCTAAAGAGGTCGTCGCCTATCTCCGCGAGCTTAGGCAAGACTACCAGGCTTGCGTTCTATGGAGGTCGTCGCCTAGCTCCACGAGCTTAGGCGAGACACTTGCGCCCTGTGGAGGTCGTCGCCTAGCTCCGCGAGCATAGACGAGATGACAGGCTTGCGCCCTATGGAGGTCGTCGCCTAGCTCCGCGAGCTTAGGCGAGACTGATAGGCTTGCGCCCTCTGGAGGTCGTCGCCTAGCTCCGCGAGCATAGGTGAGACTGACAGGCTTGCGCCCTATGGAGGTCGTCGCCTAGCTCCACAAGCATAGGCGAGACTGACAGGCTTGCGCCCTATGGAGGTCGTCGCCTAGCTCTACAAGCATAGGCGAGACTGACAGGCTTGTGTCTTATGGAGGTCGTCACCTAGCTCCACGAGCATAGGCGAGACTGACAGGCTTTCGCCCTATGGAGGTCGTCGCCTAGCTCCGCGAGCTTAGGCGAGACTGACAGGCTTGCGCCCTATACTTGGCCACAATTACCACAACGAGGCCCTCACAGACCGATTGGCCAGGAGGCATTGGACTCGCTCTGCCACAACAATCTCTTCAAACACGCATCTAGACGCTCCCAAGCTCCGCGAGCTCGAGAACCGCCGCAGCGATATCTTCAAACACGCATCCAGACCCTCCCAAGCTCCACGAGCTTGAGAACTGTCGTAGCGATCTCTTCAAACACGCATCTAGGCGCTCCCAAGCTCCACGAGCCTGAGAACCGCCAAAGCGATCTCTTCATACACGCATGTAGGCGCTCCCAGGCTCCGCGAGCCCGAGAACCGCCGCAGCGATCTATTCAAACACGCATCTAAGCGCTCCCAAGCTCCGCGAGCCCGAGAACCGCCGCAACGATCTCTTCAAACACGCATCTAGGCGCTCCCAAGCTTCGCGAGCCTGAGAACCGCCACAACAATCTCTTCAAACACGCATCTAGGCGCTCCCAGGCTCCGCGAGCCCGAGAACCGCCACAACGATCTCTTCAAACACGCATCTAGGCACTCCCAAGCTACACGAGCCCGAGAACTGCCGCAGCGATCTCTTCAAACACGCATCTAAGCGCTCCCAAACTCCGCAAGCCCGAGAGCCACCGCAACGATCTCTTCAAACACGCATCTAGGCGCTCCCAGGCTCCGCGAGCCCGAGAACCGCCGCATCGATCTCTTCAAACACGCATCTAGGTGCTCCCAGGCTCTACGAGCCCGAGAACCGCCGCAGCGATCTATTCAAACACGCATCTAGCCGCTCCCAAGCTCCCTATGCAACACGACTATGTTGTCAAACGACCTCAAATGCCTAGCTGGGTCCGCCAACCCATCATAGGACAAGCTCAACTCCCTGAAGTTACTAGGCAGGTCTCCTCCCAGCATCTCTTCTGCAAACGGATGTCCACGTGACACTACGACCCTTTTCCCATGAACATGAGCCTGGAGTTCCTGCATCTGAGCCACAACCTCTCCAAAGTTAACACATCCGGTTGTGCCGCTGCCATCGGGCGAGAGGTTACCGACCTGATATCTTCATCCTCGTCCCGTCCATGTTGCTGTTGATGCGCAGGTGGCTGCTGTTGAGGAGCAAGTGGTTGCCTCCCCTTTGGCCTAAGTGCCGAAGCGGCCCTCTCGATGGTACCCTGGTACCCTCTTGGTACCCCCCTTTGGCCTAAGTGCCGTGACGGCCCTCTCGATGGTACCCTCTTGGTGGTACCCCCTTGGGCCTAAGTGCCGAGGCGACCCTCTCGATGGTACCTTATTAGTGGTACCCCCTTTGGCCTAAGTGCCGAGGCGG